AGCCCGGACCAGCAGCCCGTGTTGTCCCCATCAGTCCCGACTAAGCTACACCAGCATTCGCCACCTGCCAGGATGCATCCCTCCTTCAGCAGAGGCAGCCCCTTCTGCTGAGCCCAGAGCCACTGCCAACTAGACACGAGGGGAATCAAGCCCCGGAAAGGTTTCAAACGACGCAGTTCCATGGCATCGGGGGCGGGGAAATCAATGCCAACCCTTCAGCTGGAAGGTCAGCTCTGCAGAGGGCGCCTTGGCTGCCTGCAGAACGAAGAGGCTCCGAAGCAGTGCTGGGCGAGCAGCGCTCGCTGAAGGCTTCGCCTCTCTCTCTCCGGCCATGCTGTGAATTACAGCTGGATATTTCTGCACAGGGTTGGAGGTGTCATGCTCATTGAAAGGGAAAGCCTTGAGTGTATTAGTGAGAGCTGCAAGCAGGCATACGGAGCTCCTGGTGCTAGAATCCCACTGAGGCAGGGCAGAGAGCGACAGCCGAGAGCTGTTAAGAGCTGCAAATGTGGACAGACAAACGCAACACCTCCCGTGCGCCTTCCCCCACCCTATTCGCGGCACAAGTTCATCCTTGAAAGGGCCGGTCCTCTTTGCAGAAAAGAATCTGTCCAGCCGACCAGATGATTTCCCCCACCCCAAGAGGTTCAGATTCATAAATTAAACAGGGATTAGTTATTTTTTCTCTTTGGAACTTCCTTCCGCTCCAGAGTTTGTAACTTCCCTGGCTGTTAACCTTCAGAGGGTAGGGCACGGCCCACGAGAAGGATGGTGGGGGAAGGGGTTAAGGTGCTAGCCCCCACCACAGGCAAGCCAGGTTCAATGGCCGCTCCGCAACAGCCTGTGTGTGAGACCAGGTCCAGCTTAAAGAGTTTTGGGGTGCTGTGCTCTATGGAAATTGGGGGGCCCCCACCTTCCTTCAATTAGATAGCCAATGTGAGATAAAAGACAATAACCGCCTGAGGTGAAAATTCAGTGTCCCCCCCCCTCCTCTGGCCCCCTAGCGCAGAGGTTCTTCGCCATGGGGCTCAGTGTGAGCCTGAGGGTTTGATGGTTACGGTAGAAGCGGGCAGGCCAAGGGCCGGGTGACAGCACCACTCATTCGGGTTTGGCCCAGCCACCCCTCCGTCCCGACGGGGGGATGCGTGTGAGCCAGATTTGAGTGAGTGGCATTGTGACCTGGTGCCACTCAGGGCTTTGTTGCTGCTGCTCTTGTTTCTTTTTCTGGTGATAGGGGGCCTTCCTGAGGTGGGGACCCCATGCCAGGGCACCGAGAGCACGTTGGTTCATCTGGACATGCATGAGATGTGGAACAAGTCACTTAGTTGCTCTGTGCCTCGGTTTCCCCTTCTGTACAATGGGGATAATAGTACTGCCCTGCCTCACAGGGGTATTGCGAGGATAAATATACTGACAATTGTGCGGTGCTGAGATACTAAGGTAAAGGGGCCATGTAGGTACCTAAGAGAGGTAGATTTTTGTTATGTGGTTTGATTTGATCTGAGGGGTCTATTTATTACTATATTTTAAAAGATGGTCAAGGATGACTAGAGCATTGGACGGCTGCACTTTGACTGGAGAGCAGTAAGCATCCAGAGCCATAAAAAACGACAGGTTCACAGCACTGGCAGCTGTCGGTTCCAGGCACCAGCACACCAAGCGCGTGCTTGTGGCGGCAAGCCGCAGGGGACGGCCTGCAGGGGGTCCGTCGGTCCCGCGGTTTCGGCGGCGGTAGGGGCACTCCCAGAGCAGCCAGCTCCCCCCACAGCCCTCCTTCCCCAGCTAAAAAAATCACCTGCCCCAAGCCGTTTTGGCTCCAAAAAGTGCTACAGACTCCAGGAAGTCTACTAAGGGCTTTGCTATTGATTTTAAGTGGAAGGTGCTCAGATACGACAGAGATGGGTGTAGTATGAGAGAGAGAGAAAATCAGTCCTGCTTGGCTGTCAGATCTCAGGCTGGCAGCTAAGGGAAAAACAAATCTGTTTACCTTTAAAGTGACTCTGTTTGGTCTGGAATTAGTGACCCCCGACGGAGGTGCAATGGTGCCGTTTTTACTGTCACTCCTCAGAGCAGAACTGCACTTTAAATCCGTACCCAGGATGTCTTGTAAACCCAACCGGCCACTGTGGTTTTAACATCCGCCACAACGCCATCCAGAACCGGCTGGTGAAAGCCATCCCGCCGTCCCTGGGGAAGATCACCGTCGACTCCGCCATCCCCGGGACAGACAGCCGACTGCGACCCGACATCGTCGTGACGGGCGCAGAAAAGAAGAAGGTCCTCATGGTAGGTGTCACGGTGCCATTTGAAAACAGGTCACCGGCCTTCCACGAGGTCCGAGCACGGAAGGCGTTGAAGTACACCTCGCTGGCCGACACCCTGAGAGCCCAGGGCTATGAGGTCCAGATACACACCCTGATCGTGGTAGCCCTGGGCTCGTGGGACCCCCACAACAAGCCGGTACTGAGAGCGTGGGGAGTCGGGCGACGCTACGCCTGGCTCATGAGACAGCTCATGGTGTCTGACACCATCAGGTGGTCCAGAGACATCTATACAGAACACATCATGGGACACCGTCAATACCACGTTGAGTAATGGAGACCGCTAACTAGGGAAATAACCCACTTCCTTCCCTGACGAACCAAAGGACGCACCCCACCCAGGTACTTATTCGCTACACTGATACTGACTTGGACTCTTTATACATTCCAGGGGTGGCGTACCCACGCCCATTTATCCACTGACGCTTTAAAAACTCCCACACCCCAATCTGGGTCTATGTTGGTTGTGTGATATGTATGTCTCTCATGATCCTTGTAACCAGTACCTGTAATCCCTCATAACTCAAGCCTGACCCCAGATGTACAGTACCTTCCCTCGTAACTTGTGTCTATTTAATTTTAAACATTAACTTTAATAAAATGTTTATTACGTAGCTGACCAGTGACTAAGGAATTTCTGGAGTTCTCCTCCATCCTTACATAGATTCCGCACCCAGTGAGGGCAACGGACCTTATAGGGATCCCTGATATTATATAGTAAGTGTGGGGGACTCAACGAGACAATGGTCAAAGCACGGTTGTCTAGGATGGCCTTAGTCTGTATATAGGATATGGCTGAAAGATTCATGCCATAATCGATACATGTGGGAGAAATGCAGTTCTTACCTCTTCCTTGCCCTAGTGCAGTCAGGCCTCCTCAACACCAGGGCGAATGCAGAGTAACAGCGGCACTGCTTCAGTTTCAGTGACTTGCTGCGGGGGGAGGGGGTTCTCTTCCTTAGGACTGACTCATCCAGGATGCACCAGACAGTCTCCTCAGAGCTGGGAGCCCCAGTCTCCTGCCAAAATACAAACTGGGATAATGACACACCATGTGCTTCTTCACGTCCTCTCCTAAACAATGGCATGCTGTTGCTGTGCGCTGCTGAGCAGCTGATGCGTTCCACCCCAGAGGTGACTCCATCGCAAAGTAAGGGGATCTTCATCTAATCCGTTCTGGCAATCTTTTGTTACAAAAGGCACCGTGGCAATCTAAGTGATGACACTTTGCTCATTCCACGGTTAGCTAGGGCTACGCCATTCACTTTCTTCTGATTTTTATGGCCCTCCTATTACAGGAATGAGGCATTAGACAGCATTTCCTTTTGGCCTTTTCAGGCTTCTCTGCTCCCTTTTCCTGGAACACGTGCTCCAGCTGCAGGTTCAATACCTCTCCATCCTGACAGAGGCAGCAGGTTTAAAAATCGCCCTCCAGCCATGCCCAGATCAAATGAGGGTATGTGCGTCTTGCACAGCGGAATTAGCCTCTCAGCGCCCCCTTGGAAGCACAAAGAAAGAACTGTGCAAAATTAAAATGACAGGGCAAGAGCCTAGAAGGAAAGGAGCAAAGATCTCCCTATAGAAATACATTTCAAGAGGCAGAGCCCAACGCCCAGTGTTGCTAAGGGAGCAAGGGGGCAGGAGGTGCCGGGTGTGTGCACGCGTCCTGGTGGGAAGAACGTGCCAGTGCTGGTTTTACCTCCTCTTCTCTATTTGGAAAAGGGACAAATCCCTCCTCTTGGGGGGCTGTCAGAGCAGCAGATCCCACCCCTCTCCAGCTCCGGCTCTTGGAAAATGCACGGATTTACCAGCATGGGGAGAGAGGGGAGTCTGCTGGAACAGATCATCCCAGCTCTGCTCTTAGCCCAGACCCCAACACCCACCTCATTGGGGACTGGCAGGGACCCCTCGGTGGTCCAGCCTTATCTTTGTGAACAGCAGCTAAGATCTGCCTTGGCATTCAAACAACACTGCTTCCGATTTACATTCTAGCATCCGCAAGGAGAGCAGATCGCCCTCACATCTCTCTGGGAGGATATCAGCTCCGATTGCACAGCACACAGGCCACCGTTTAGCTGTCATTTCACATGCCATGGAACTTTGGACAGGTCTGGAGAAGAGCAACTCTTGCTCGCAGCTTCAATTCAATCGCTGACAACTTAAAAGCCTCCAGGGTCACAAGGACCACTTGGAAGGCAATCGGAGTAAATAAATGCCTGCATCTTCATGGGAAGGAAAAGAGCTTGGACAGGCGGCTGCACCAGGATTATTTCCAGCAGAGTGATCGCTTCCCCATCTACCTGCCAGCCACAGCTTTAATATACATTAGGGGCTTTTAGCCTTTGGACTTGAAGACAGCGATCTGCAGGTAACTGACTCCTATCTTCACTTCCATCTGTGGTTCTTGAAGGCTGTTTTCTGCAGGGTGAAATAACATACAGCCGAGAGAGAGAGAGCAGGGATTGTTTTTTTAGAGGCTGTAAATTCGTGGGCACCAGCAAAAAAATCAGAGTGATGCTGTTATAGTGACAGGGACCTTTGTGTCTAACGCAGCCCTGTCTGCTCAGCTGCATGGAATCTGTCTGCACGTCTGACGACAGCTTCTCAACACGACGTCTTCAAAGTTAAGTGCATCTATTATTACGCTCTGGGGCTGGAAAAATCCCTAACTGCAGAGAGATGGAGCTGGGTCCATGCACTTCTGTGCCCTGCCACCCTAAGAATGCCACGGATCACGCCAATGCCACCTTTGAAGTCCTCGCTGACACCAGTGATGTCTTGGTCACCTACTTCCTGGGGTGCATCCTGGCCGTGATGTGCCTGGTGGGCATAGTTGGCAACATCTACACCTTGGTGGTCGTGAACCTCTCCATGACGTTCACTGGCTCAATGTACATTTATATTGTCAACCTGGCACTGGCAGATCTCCTGTACCTGTCGACCATCCCCTTCGTGGTCTGCACGTATTTCGTGAAGGACTGGTACTTTGGCGATGTGGGTTGCAGGATCCTGTTCAGCTTGGACCTCCTCACCATGCACGCCAGCATCTTCATCCTCACCATCATGAGCACCGAAAGGTACCTAGCCGTAGTCAAGCCATTAGACACTATTGGGAGATCCAGAGACTACCGGAGGACTGTCACCTGCCTGGTGTGGCTGGTGTCCTTTCTTCTTGCCCTCCCTACTATGATCCTCATAGACCTCAGGACGAGTGACCAGGGCGGGGTGACCAAGCGCATGTGCCATCCCACTTGGCAGATGGAGACCTACAAAGTGTACCTCACCATCCTTTTTAACACCTGCATCCTGGCCCCTGGGCTTGTCATCTGCTACTTATACATTAAGTTGGCCAGGACATACTGGAGATCTCAGACTGCTGTTTTCACCCCCAGGGAAATGAACCGGTGCCCCAAGCAGAAAGTCCTGTACATGATATTCAGCATCGTCCTCACCTACTGGGCTTGTTTCATACCCTTCTGGCTCTGGCAGCTGCTCAGCATCTACTACAAGCAGCCAGGGAACCTCACCACCACCACCATGGTCTACATCAATTTCATCGTGACCTGCTTGGCCTACAGCAACAGCTGCATTAACCCTTTCCTTTACACGCTGCTCTCCAGGAATTACAAAGAGTATCTGAGGAGTCGCCAGAAGAACTGCATCAACCTCTCCAAGTTAAAGCCCAAGAGGCGCTCCTCGAGGAGGTCCAGGTTCTCTGGAAGCCACGCCTACCCGGAATCCATAGCCATCGCTCAGCTCACAGGGCTCACTAATGAGGATGTCTGTACTCTGTGAAAGGTGAGTAGGTGTGGGGGGTAAGGGAGCTATTTAATGATTCATGCTCGTGGGTTTTATTTACATGTGTGGTACCACCTGCGTGGCACAGCGGCACCAGAAATTACGTTCAAATTTAACACACTAGGTATGAGCAACATATTCCCCCCTGGTAGCCAATCCACATAGAGGATAAGAGCCTACTACAGCTACCAGCTAACCAAGTTATTCATTGGGAACATGGTAGAAGCCCAGACTTTGGAGCTGAAAGTCCTGGGTTCTAGCCATGTTGCCCCCCACATGGTGCTGGTAGGTCATTACACACGTAGATCATTACAGTAGCAGCTGTGGTCTAAACTGTGTTCACATAACTCATTTCGAGTCGGTGTGGCAGGGAAAAGGAGGCTACGTGGTACAAGCACCATGCCTCGGTTTTCTGGCATCCAGCACCAGACAAAGGCTTTAAGAATAACTTAATACTTGGCAGTCACTGCTTCTCCACATTGAGAGAGAGCTCTTAAATCTAATGTAACTGAATGGAAAACACAGATGCTGCTCTTCCCCCCCCCCCCCCCCCAACCAATTCATTTCATTTGTGTTTGCATTTTAATCAACAGCTTTCCCTTGAAGAGCCCAGTGTGTTGTTAGAGCTGATAGGATGTTGTTAAACAATGACGATGTCACAACAATAAAGAGGTAAAACAATAGCTCCCAGCCAGGAGAGGCAGAATTGGAAGAACCAGGTTCTTTTGGGGGAGTAGCTCAGATTATAATTAAAACCTAGTCTCACGGTGCCCATTGAAGTTCCATTGAAAATTAGTTTAGATTTACTAGTAAAATGATCTCCGGGCAAAAAGCAGGGCTCTGAACTGAATTGATCCTTTCAGTTCTGTGCCATCGTGCTTTCGGGATTGTTTTGGACACGCTGCTTTTGATGACAGCTATTGAACGACTGCTAAATCCAGCCCCAGAAGGCTGTGACCTTCCCTCGTCACACCCACACAACAGAAGTTCACTTTCAAGGACAGAGTAAATTCTACTGTGCATTTTAGTGCCCTGGCAGATCTGACAGGCTGGGTGTGATTCTAAGGCTTGGCCTACGTTACATCAGTTACAGCTTCCCGCCATTGCTACCACCGCTGTACGGGTCCGTCAGTGGCAGGGCTCTAGTCTAGGCAGGCTGACAGCATTTTAAACACCACATGGACTAAGCCTGCTCCGAGCAAGTCTCCACAACAGTGGCAGCTGAGAGTCTGTCTATGACTGGTGGGGCTTCGCTGCAGGTAGCAATGGTGGGAAATTCGAGGGAAGTCAGTCTAATGTAGGCATGGTCCATGTGGCGTTTGCACAAGCAGAAACATGGTCTCCCTAGGCCACAAAGGGCCTTGAAAGGCCTGGCCTAGATTAGGGAATTTTAGTGACAAATTGCTTCTCTCGCTAACACCCACTGGGTGCCAGAGTGTAGACACCCCCTGGCTCCAGTGTGCATTCATTAACATGTTCCACCAATTGTCTTTCCAGCTGAGCCGGCCTGGAGGCAGCCCCCTCTGGAGGCCTGAAGGAGTTAGTCTGTGCTGGCCAGATGGTGCTCCCTAGCAAAATGACTGGCCAAGTATTATTTTATCAACTACACGTGGTTAATAACCTAGTAAAAGCATCCTGATTGGTTAATAATTAAATCACATGGTGTGTTAATATCATCTGCTGCAAAGAGCCAGAGGAGATGTATTAAAAAGCCACTTGCAGCTCCCAAACCTCAGGCTGAAGATCAGTGTTATTGTGTCCTCTTCCCTCTCTGTAGGGTCCGTGGGGAAGAACAGTGTCCCTATCAACTCACCCCCCAGAAGGTCTTCTGTCGCTGGGTTCTCCTTGGGACACAGAGGTTGAGGAGGAACAACGGTGCCAAACCTCCTGCTGTCACTTGCACCCCATGTCCCTGTTCTACTGGTTCCTGCCCCAACGGTGATGGTTCTGAGCTGTTGCCATCTAACCCAGTGTCTGAGCTTCTTCTGTTATTAGGTGCCCATCAGCGCCTGCCACTTGGGCACCATCTTGAAACTAAATGAACACAATTAACGTTGTCCCTAGGCAGGCAACAGACTGACTCTGCTGTAGGCTACCCCCCGCCGGCTGACTGACACAGCACCCGATGGTAACACCCCAGGAAGGAGAAGCCGGATGGACAATGGTGCATCTCGAACTGTACCCTACAGGTGACCAAGCTCAGCAGCGAAGGTTAAGCCCTGGGACCTCACTGCAGGTTGTCACCACTGTGGCGGGGCATGCTGGGGAGAATATGCAGGTGGACGAAGGGCTGTCCACCGTACGGATGCTGTCGGTGGACTCCAGGGAACAACTTTCCCAACGGAAGGCCCAAAGTTAAAACGCCGGACGAGCCCAGGAGGCAGGTGGGTGACTTGCTGCAGGCTGTAGTGAGGACGCAACAAGGCTACCTGAACTCCGCTCCCCTGCGACATCAGAGTGAGGAACGGCTCTGGCACGGCCTGCCCGGCTCTGCTGAATTCCTCGCTCTCCACGCACAGTGCGGCACGAGGTGGCACTCAAGCCCATTGCTGGCTAACCCCCCTACCCCGCGCCGGACGTTGCATTTTTATTATTGGGTGCAAAGGTTCCATCAGTAAAATAAAAATACGCTGAAAGAGGAGGCGGCCCTTTTCTCTGCACCTAGGGGCAGCTCTTGGTTGGGCCAGAGCTGAAAGCAGGTCCCTTTAAATGGTGTGGGTGGGGACAGTGTACGAGGGTTGGCCCAGAGGGGACCGCTGGAGTTTGGGGGGAGGAAGTGGGCCTCGAGCTGTGTAGGCACTGTCAGGAAATGGGACAAGGAGGGTCCCACTCAGAGGTGGATTAAGAGCTCCTGGGTCCCTGGGATGGAGCAATGTGGGGGCCCTGCCCCTGGCACCGGAACTGTAGCCCGACCCCACCCCTTTTGTCTGTGGGCCCCGCCCATGGCCCCACCCCATTCCACCCCTTCCCCTGTTCCACCCACAGCCCCGCCCCGTTCTGCCCCAAGACCAGAGATGCTGTGCCCCTGCTGCGACCCTGGGGCTGTGGTGGGAAGCAAGAGCTCCTGTAACCCCAGGGCTGTGGTGGGGGGAGGGTTTTCCAGGGGTCCCAAATTGGCTGGGGCCCCTGGGCACACTTTAGAAATGGGGAAATTGAACCTATGAGTCAAGATATACATCCGCCAATCCCTCCCTCCCAAGGGGGCTGGCCAGTTGGAAGCCATACTCCAGCCACTGTTCTACTGGAGACACGAGTTCTCAGGGCCACTGGGAGTGGGAATTCATCACCGTATTTACTGGGCTCTGTATACAAAACAGAGTGGCCCCAGCCCTGCGATCCTTGCTCAGGCAAAACTGCCAGTGCTATCACCTGCCACACACACAGGCTCAGACCCATTCTCCTCACACAGGAACAAGTTCCCAGAGTCACTGCCATGCAGGGGGGACCATGAGACACAGACAAATGTTGAACACCATCACCGTCCTGCAAGGACAGGCTGGTGGGGGGATCCGGAGATGGCGGAGTGGCTCTGGAGTCTTTCACCAGTGGTCCAGATCTAATCCAGGCCAGGAGGGATCTAAAGTGGCTACCCCTTTATTGCTATCTGAAGTGTGTTTGGAAGGGTCAGTCCCGTCCCTAGCAGACGCCTACCCACATCCCAAACATGCCAGGCAGCTGCAGCCTCAGCAGAGCGCCCAAGGGTTACGTTGGCTTTGGAGACCCATCTCCCTACCTGCTCTGAGACCTGGGCTGCGTTAGCAGAGCACCGTGGGTCGCCCTGCTGTGGCTCAGGCTGTCTCCATCCTGTCCAGCCAGCATGTGGCTGCAGGACTGCCAATCTCACCACTTTCACCCACACTTTCTACAGCCCTGCACGGGAGACTCTGCCATGGAGAAAATGGCCCGTACCAGTCCCGACCCAAATGCTGGCGGTTCCCTCCCCCCCAAGCAGGTGTGACAGATCAGGGCTACAATCTGCAGAACAAAGAGCCCAGCCCGGCACTCAAACCAAGGTGAGTGCACATGGAGATTTCTGTAGAACAGGGTCAGGCCAGGGCCAGAGTCGGAGAGAACAGTCTCCACCAAACCCTCTGTGACGGAGGATGCTGGCGATTGATGCTGGTTTTGCTGGACCCTCCCCAAGGAAGCCTTTTCAGCAGCTCAGATAGTTAAAGCTCCTCCACTCGGCGAGGAGTGACGCATGCACCATGCAAACCAGGCGTCTGCCCTGCAGCTGCCTCCACTTGCTGAGCCCAGGGGTTGTGCTCTCAAAGCACCTACATGATTTAGGAGCCCGTGTTCCACTTTCAAAAGGCATTTATGTACTCAGGAGCCTAAGGGAAGGAGATGTAGGCTCCTAAGTCACTTTTAAATAGGGCGCATGGTCTCCTAAGTCACTTGGGTGATTTACATTTTTTTACCCCAGTTCCCAAGTATACAGAGCCCAGGACACATCTAAGGGGCTCAGACACTGAACCCACTGGCCCTTTTCATGTTGTTTCAAATTCTTTACAGCTCGAGACTTGTCCACACTGACTGATGGACCATCTCTTCCGTCAGCCCCAGAGGTGAAAGTAAGTTGGTAAGCCCCCGTACGGCATACCAGCAAGAGCCGGTGTGCCGTACCGGGGCAGCCCAGCTTCCCCAGGCGGCAATTTAAAGGGCCTGGGGCTCCCAGCAGCAGGCTTGTCTACACAACAAAATTAAGTCGATTTAAGTTAGGGCGACCTACATCCACTGTAGTAATTAAATTGGCTGTTCATGTCCACCCTACCCTCCTTCTGCTGGTGGTGCGTGTCCTCAGCAGGCGCACTTGCTCCTTAAGTGGGGCATTGTGAGGGGGCTGACAGCCCGAGCGGTCTGCCCCAGGGTGGCGGGGTCCCAACTGTCAAAGGCAGCAACAGGCGATGTAAGCAACACCCCCAGTGCATACACGGACACTGGATTGACTTAACTGCGATGCCTCTTGCAGAGGTGGAGTTATTAAGGAGATGTAGTGGGTGACTTACATCGGCGGGAGCAGCAACATAGTGTGGACACTTACAGAGTTAGGTCGATGTAAGCACCGTAACGTAGACCAGGCCTGAGTGAATAGATGCTGCAAACCTCATCTCTGTGCAGACATGCACCCCTGGGACACACAGGTTACCACAAACTAAGGAACAACCTCTCTGTGGGAGCACTTCAGTGACACGGTGGGGGCCGTCATTGCTGATCAGGTCCCATTCCCTTGGGGCCGGTCAGGAAGGGGTGGGGTGGTGTGTGAGTGAGAGTCCAGTCACTTTAGGGCTTTTACTTTTTTAGCCCTCCCCGAAAATGCAGCCAGCTGGAGAGATGGTTCTGTTTCCTCCACTGCTGAGCCATGATCCCACCAGCCCCCACCACTCCCCCGTGCCAGTGGCCGTGGAGATTCGCAGCTGGGGACTGCCTGAGGTGAGCACACCTTGGGTTTATCCACGGTTTTGTGCTACACTTTACTGTCCTCCACTGCCAGGCAAGGGGCTCTGACTCATGCACTCCCACACAGACTGCGATCCTGAACCCCGAATGGAATTATTCCAATGTCGGAAAAGATTAGTGAGTCTAACCTGAATCTACTGCACTCAGATCCTCATGGAGCGCCAGGAACTGGGGCTGCTTCTTAATTGCTTTTTTAAAAATTGTTAAAGACTTTCCTTTCCCTTCCCCAACCCCCAGAGCTGTAAGGTCGCAGACAACACGCAAAGGAAGTGAATTGAAATTGACGCACCTGCCAGGCTGCCTGATCTGAAGCTGCCCCATTGCAACTATCACCTCCTGTCAGAGCAAAGCACATGGCAGAGGCAACGCAGATACGTTTGCCCTGGAGAGATGTGCTTTGCTGGGCAAACTTTGGGAAGATGACACTGGGAGGAGGAGGAGAAAGATACCGACAACAAGAGTTAATTCTCCTTGGAGAGGTTCAGGCAGTAAGAGGAATCTGGGCTGGAGGGCTTGGGCTGGCTTCTTGCACACCATGCTGGAAACCACAGCTCAGCGAATGCACTGCTAATGGCTTCTTCCTAAAGCACTTTACAAAGAGTGGCCCCTTTGGGCTGGGGCGGCGTCACGCCCTTGCGTGACGGCAGTGAAGTATTATCCCCATTTTACAGATGAAGGCACAGGCTGATAAAGTGCCCATACAGGGAAATCTTTAGCAGAGCAGGGAATCGAACCCAGGACTCCTTAACTCCCAGCTACAAGACAACCCTTCCCCTCCTTAGCAGCATTCAGTCAGCTGTAAGCTTGGTGCCCAACGGGCAGGCAGCAGCCCATTCATTTATCTAAAGTCGCTCTGGTTGCATTGATTTGCTATGACGCTTGGAAGCCAAAAAATCAGCCTCCTCACTGATTTTAGTCCACACTCCAGAGGATTGTCCCCATTTAAATATCTAGGCCTTTCATTCAGGTGCCCCTTCCTCCCTCTTCAGGCACATCACACAGCAAGCGGCAACGAGGCCCAGAGCCCGCTCCACAGACTCGGGTTCATGTTCTGGCACTAAAAATAGCTGTGCAAGCTAGGGAGGGGGGTGGGCTCCAGCCTGAATCAGGGGGTCTACACTGCTCTGTCGAGCCGGGCTCTGAGCCTCGCTGCCGCAGGCTGCGTAGATGCACCTTCCAGATCAGTAACGAAGACGTCCAATCAGAACGAACCCCACGCTGGTCCCTGCGGTGCTCAGGAGGTGATTGTCCTGCTCGATGCATTGCGAGCCACAGCTACCCTAGTGCTTCGGATCCGAGGCTACAGGCCAGGTTGTGTGTGCAAGCCCTGATTGGATCTTTAAGTAGGATTCTGTGAGACTGTATCTGAGGCTGTCCTGAGATCCCAATCTGCCGCACGGCCTGCGGGCCCTTCTGTAATCCTTCGGAACAAAAAAACCAATCAGGTTTGTCTGGCTGGATTTATTCTCTCTAGTCTAAAACCCCGTTTAGGCTCCTGTTTCCTTAGTGATCCCCCCCTACCCCTTACCTTTGTTCAGAACGGTCCGT